AGGAACCATTAGGATAATACTAGTTCTACACATGTCAGAGTAACAAATGTCTTTCATTCTTCTTTCTCTTTCCCAACCACCCCCCGACACAGATACACCCCCCACACACCACAAATACACACACATTTGTACATGCATATACACATGTACATTCATATTCACATAAGTATGTCACTGCATGCACACATAGTCATATATTCATACCATATATACACACATATATGCATGCATCATGCACCCTCATGATATCAAATAAATGAATATTGTCTACCAAATATACTTAGAGAGTGTTTGAAAGCAGATCTAATAAACTATGTCTCACTCTGCTCCTAGAATATAGCAGTGTACAGAGAGCAAAAACCTCAATTTCTGCTTTTTACTCTCTGTCACAAATCTCAAAACCAGCTATTGCATCTCATCCTAATCTGTTCCAATATGGTGGCACAACCTGAGAGTTCTCATATGAATGTATTGTGTTATAAAATAATTAAGTTGAAAAAACAAAACATAAAACAACAATATAAATATTTACTACTTTTTGATTTTAGGTTATGCTTTGTTCAACTTCTTCCTCTCTCACCCAGCTCTTAAAAGTGTATTGTATGCTTCTTCATTTTCATTGCACATTGTTAATTGACTAGCATTCTGAATATTACACAGAAAGTTTCCCTTGATGTCAAAGAAGTTTCTCTACAGTAATATCACCAGGGTTATTACCATTGGTTATAATGATTTTGAAAGAAATTTCCTAGAAGAAACAGCCATAAGTATTTCTAGATCCTACCATTCCAAAAAAACAAACCAGGGGAGAAAGTCCAAGAAATAATGTTTAAGTAATGTTAAGTCAATTAATTTTCATTCTAAAGTAGTCATTTCTTATAAAAACAACAATAATATTACATTTTAACTTGTTCTTGTGGTTTCCAAGACAGACAAGAAGTTAGAACATTTTATAGCCATTTTAATAGTAAAAAAAGCCAAGGCTTTTAAATGCTATGAGATTTGATAAAAATCATTCACAAAATTAAGTCACCAACCAGGATGTTCTCTTTTGTGACCATTTGTTTGTGTCTTGTTTTCTTTCTTTTTTCTGTAGGGTTTCCTGCGTTTTCTATGTGATTTTGTATATTGATTTTTTAATGTGTTAGTGCAAAGTCCTTTGTAAATGACCTATATCACAAATGTATACTTCTACTATCTTATTTTGATATTGATAAAAAAATGATGCTGATTAATGTCTTCCAGATTGCTAGTCTTTCCCTAATGGTTAGTGCTTTGCTTTTCCTGTGGAAAATTTTTTTCCTTAAGAATGTGAAGGCCTTTTTCTATTTTACCTCTCACAGTTAGTTTTTATAATCTATTTGGAATTTATTTTGGGATATGGTGAAAACTATTCCTCCAGGGTAGGTCTATTGAGTACCAATTTCACTTTTTTCCCCCAGAAAATGCTTTATTTTTAATTAAAATGAAGTTTTTGTTAGGTACAAAAATTTACATTGGATATTTTTTCTTTTGGCACTTTCAAGATGTCATTGCATTGTGTCTAACTTCCACTGTTTTTGTTGAGAAGTCACCTATAGGTTTTATTGTTACTGTTTTTGAAATTAATGGATTTTTATTCACTAAATAATTTTATATTTTTAAGCCTTGATTTTCAGAGGTTTTACATAGATTAGTTTAAACAGGGTTTGCATGGCATTAATTCTGCTATGGACCATAAAACTTTTTAAACATGATTTAACATCTTCTAGTAATTTGGGGAAAATCATCAGTCACTATATGTTAGAATATTGATTTTGCCAGATTACATATAGGTTAAATCCTATCTTATATGTCCAGTCCTTTTTGTCTGTTTTTGGCTGTACTTTATTTTTTTTTACCCTAACTTTCAGTTTACTAATTCCTTCTTTGTGTCTAATTTCTGCCACATCCACCTATTGAATATTTAACTTCAATTATTTAATATTTTTTGCTTTTAGAATTTACATCTGACTTTTTTTAATGGTCTCCATTTATCTGGCCAACTTCTTTGCCATGAAAAATTTTCAATTTGGCACTTAATTCTAAAACACATTAATCATTATTTTAAAGTTGTGTCTGTAATATCTGGATCTCTACTATGTCTCCGTTATCTTATTTTCTTGATTTTAAGTGATTCATTCTTATCCTTTTGAAATGCCAGGTAATTTTTTTTGAATGCAGGACACTACACTCTGCATAAAACATTGTAGTGCTAACTTGAGGTTCTTGGTGGTTTAATGTTTTCCTGGAGAGGATTTATTTTTGCTTTTGAAAATCAGGTAATACAGAGCAGAGAACTGTAATATAAATAAGAACTGAATTGACTAAAAGTTGGACGTCAGGTCTTGTTTTTGTGTGGGGTTTTTTTCCTGACATTTTTTGTTTTCATTTTGAAGTTCATCAGAGACCTTTATTCTGATCCTCATTATTCATTAAGCAACTTACAAAAAACATTTTCTTTATCTCTTCCCCAAGAAGCAGCAGCTGCATCCAGGCCTAAAATGGAAGGCACAAACAGTGGAAGACCTTGTAGAGAAAAGCTAGTGGGCAAGATCTCTGCATATCCTGGCTTAGGTGAAGGTAGAATGGGAAAAGTATATAAGAACAATATTTCAATGATTCTGTTCTTCAAAGCTGATACCTGCAAGAAAGAAGCTAGCTAAAAGATACAGAACTGCCCAGCTCAGCAATCTGAAAAAACCAAGCTGATAGACTTAACTTTTTTAAAGAGTTGGTCTTTTTCAAGTTCATCCTTGGTCCCAGAGTCTAACCCTTCAAGAGACACCACAGAAAACTCAAAATATTTATCAGGGCACCTTTTTCTTGGTGGGCCCTGACCTTCAAGTTTTGCCCCTCCCTCCTGCCCCACCTCTCCCAGCCTCTTAAAGCTTCTGGAGGCTCTGTTCAACTTCTTGCAACGTGGAATGTCAGGCTATTTTGTACCTCTTCAAGAGTGTCCTGCACTGATGACTCTCTGGTGCCTTAAAATAATGTTTTATATAATCTTTCCAGCCTTTCTAGCTATTCTTGGTAGGAGGGTGTGGCTACATCATAGTAGTCCACCTTAGGCAGAAATTCCTTTCTCAATTGACTTTAATTTGTGTTTCCTTCATTATTAGAAAAGTGAATCATCTTTTCACATGTCTACAAGTCATTTTTATTTACTTATTTTTTAATGAACAGTTGTTAAATTTCTTGTTCAATTTTCAGTCCAATTCTTGATCTTTTTCATCTCTATTTTAGAGTATTTATTAAAGATATTAAGGCTTTGTCTATGATAACAGGTATAAATATTTTTCTTCAATTTGTAAACTTTCTTTTTTTTAAACATTGCTTATGGTATTTTTCCCATCCAATATTTATTATGTTTAGATAAAGTTAAATAGTTCCATTTTTTTTATTACTACTCCTATGTTTTGAAGCAAAATTAGCAAAGATTTTCAGCTTTCAGGTCTGGAGAAATCCATCAATGTTTTCTTGTATAATTATGTCTTTAAAAAATATGTTGACTACTAATTGAAAAAATGGTCTACTTTCTAGAATTGGCAGAGTGAAAAAGGATATGATATGGTGTTGAGTCCAGTTGGAAGTTTCAGGTTTTGTTTTCCCTTCTTCATCCCCAGGAACTAATGAGAAGAACTCATGGACACAATTATTTTCATGTTGTTTTTGAAGGGCTTGGGAGCTAATAAGTTTTTTTCTTCCTCTATTATCCTTTTCCTGACTTCTCTCATATCATCAGTGTTATTTCTATATTGATGTCTTTCAAATATGTGCATGTCCAATTCAAAATTTTTTTTCCTCAGCATTGGATGCAAAAACCTCTTTGACATTTCCACTAAAATGACCCAGCACTTTAGACTTCAAATCTAAAATGGCTTTCTTCACCTCCCTCAAATCTATGTGTTTTATATGTCTTCAAGTACTATCATCCCTACCATCCATCCATCCAGGCTGAGACTGGTCACTGTTGAGTTATGCTTCTTGATTTTCAGCAAATCATTACAAGCATGCAAGTTCTATCTTTGAACGTACTTTCCTTTGAAGAAATTATAAACTGTATCTTTCCCATCCTTTTTTCATTCTCATCCAAAGGCACACCAAATTGAATATACTTCAGGCTCAATAAGTACTCATGTAATAAAAAATAAATTTAATCTTCTGCTTAAAAAATTACAGAAATAATTAAAACTCTGAAATTATAGATTTTCCAGCACGTTATCTGTATGCGTATTTGTATTTTCAAATGCTCTGGGTCTTCAAGTTGTGAAAACATAATAGCTACTTAACTAAGAAGTAGAGGATATTAAATATTTGGAAAATTTTTCACAATAAAAAAAATTCCTTTGCTGCTACATGTAAGCATGTAATAGAGCTTCAGTCACAATGAATGGATGACACGCCTCCCAAAGCTGTGCATATAAAAAACAATCACAGTGGAAATTAACTAAAGACTGGGTTCTCAGCAATCCAAAATGGCAGCTTCCAAGAGGTCTCCTAGAGAAGCAACTAAGTCATTCTTTTGTGGAGGTGGAGGGGAGACTCACTGCCAGGAGAATGAATGTTCCTGCCTTGCTTTCAGGCATGTCTAAGGCAAAGTAGGTTTTCTTTTTTTTCTCTCTCTTCAGAGGTTATGCTACATAAACTCACAAATATACAAATATTCCTAAATTTAAATTGTAGGTTGTTCTGATTAAACCAAGTTTCCCTGCTTTCATGTGACCAGATTTCTAATGTAAAAAAATATGTATATATATATGTATGTGATTCTCACAAATTAGAAAATGTTCAAGATGACAGCACTAAAGTATTCCAGCAACTCAAACCACTATTTCCTTCTTTAACTTTTTATACAAAAGAAATTGAATCCCAGGAGTATTTTTAAATCTAAGAGAGCAATGGAAGGTGACAGAACAATTGGCAGTCAGGCTGTTCTAATTTTCTATTAATCAAGGGACTACCTTCTTTCACTCTTCCAGCTCAAGGAGAGGACATGCCTAGGGTTTCTGTGAAAAACAAAGGTTCCTGCAACACAGAAAACACGACAAGTCCTGATGGTAAGGTTCCAAGCACTCTGAGCTGATGCAGTCTACAAACCTGGCACATTTTCTGTGTGTAGTCCAGGATTAAGGGAGCCATCTATTCTATGAATTAGCATATTCAGTTAGAACAAGTTGAAGTTTAAAAACCATTTTCTACTGGGAACTAAAATAATTGGCAGCCTTTTTAAAACACTGACTCCAACTCAGTTTAAAAAACAGCATGTGCTTCAGTTTAATCTTACCTCACAAAAATAAAGCCACACTGGGTAATTCCAAGGCTAAACTGGAAGACATGAAGTCTAGCTGGTGAATGTTACAGAACTATCACTCACTTCTGCAGAAAAGTGCTTGTTCAACTCTTAACTCAACCACATTCTGGAGCCTTAGCTTGAGCTTCGGCTAAGGTTGTCCTAGGATTTTATCACTGTGTCACATCAGATGTCTTGGCCAAAAACTTTCTGAATCTTTAAAAGCACCATAGAAATAAATTCACAAATCATTTTTTTGTCCACATCACATTTTGAAAGTGTTTGAAGACTCTGAGCCTCAGGAATATGAGCATGCCTTGACTCCTGCTGGGAACCCTTTGAAATGTCACTACTTGCATTAAAAAAAACCCCTACTATATGAGCACACATTATTTAATAAATATTTAATTTCAGTGCCCCACAGAGCTTAAGAGAACCAGAATTGATCAGTGATCGACTGTTCATATGTATCTTGCCATTTGAGTTATTTTAGCCAGAAAAAAAAAGGCAAATTAATTTCAGTTGATAATGACCTTGGGAAAAAAATCATCCACTGGTAGAAGTGACTTGATGATTTTATATAGAGTTTCCTGTAGTACTGGGTATACTCCCCTGCTATAGCCCCTTTATCATGAACTGATTTTTTGACTCATGGGCATAGAATATCTAAGAGAATAATGTCTTTTTAAATACCAGATCCATCCATTAAAAGCTACCACATGTTAGTCATACTCAGTTGAACAAAACTTGTTCAGCCTGGTTTTGCCTCCATTGAATATAACCCCTAAATCATTTTTACAAAGCATGTTCTGAAGAACATCAAGCCCATACAATGCTTAGTGAATAAAAGGAAAATAAATGTGGGTAATACTAGGTCCTTTTGGAGATTCACTGTACATATTACAGGCTCTCAGAAGTCTCAGCTGTAAAGAAATTTATTAACATGGTTTAAAATTACTTTTCTGAAATGTATTTGATCATGGAATGCTTTGTACAGTAACATTTGATAATAGGTTTTGAAATTAGTGACTCTTGGGTTAGAGGAAGAAAAAGAAAATGAGTGCTCTACTATAGTTCATTCTGCATGCTTCCGCACTGAGATGGATGCACTTACGATAAGTTTGTACACCAGGACCAAAAGTACATGTACAAGAGGGGGCCCAAAAAAACCCCAAAATTTATTTATAAAAAAAATGTGTATTTATTCTTACATGTGTAAACTTCAATCACCTTCAAAGCACTCTCCATTTGATGCAATATGCCTATCAAGACTTTTTTTTTACTGCTCAAAACACTTTTTGAACTTGTCAGTTTTGATGCCTTTTACTGCTTCGGCTGCTTTTTGTTTCACCTCTTCCACACTGGCAAATGTTTCCTTTTCAGGACTTTTTTTCATTAGGGAAAACCAAAAAAAAAAAAAAGTCGCTCTAAGCAAATTGGATAAATAGAGAGAAGTGTGGGTGTCATGTTGTTTTAGGTCAAAAACTGATGAACACAGTGTGGTGTAGGCAGAGGCACTCATAAATCACCCATCATGACCATCATGAAATGGGCAAACACGTCAAAAGAGTCTTCAAAAATAATTCACTGAAGTTGAACACATCCTCTCACAACAACACCAGCTGGTACACTGATGCAGATGGGTTCCTAGAATACTCACTCAGCGGGAAAGCCTCTATGCAAGGGGCCCACCCTACAGAAGATAATTCAATTTTTGGGGGGTCCCCCTTCATATTATTCTGTTTATATAAGTAAAATTTATGCCTCTGGACAATTTACACGTGAGTTTAGATTGAGCTCACACATCATTAGAATCCCAGGCTGGTATGCAGGTGAGGCCAAAAAGACCTGCTTTTAAAACCTTTCTTCTTGAGAGAGAGTTGAGTAGGATGTTATTTCTTCTTTCAAGCCACTTTGGAGGATGAAAACCAGCACCTGCCACTATTTTACTTCAGTAAAACTTTCATTTTCAAGAAAAAGTGGTGTAAGTTGTTGATTTTGTGCAAATAAATAAAGGATACTCAAATAAGAAAACACAAGATTACTAATTCAGAGCTTACGAAAGTATCAGCTATTATCACTTGTGTTTGGCCAATTCAAAGGCAGCAAGGAAATGGGAAATTTTATAGTTAACAAAAAGGAAGACTCAAGCATCCTATGATTGAGGTTCTTGGCATGCAGAAGAAAGACTTGGGCTAGATAAAAGTGGGACATCTTAGGAGATTGGCTTGGGCCTGGTTGGTCCTCTGTTGAAGTATGGGCAAAATATAGGGAACTTGGCAATCACTGACCAGTCTGAGCTAATTTTTTCACAGGCTGTAGTTCCACTGTCCAGGCTAGTTCCTGCAGAGATTTAAAATAACAATTCTATTGTTATATATGGTCTAGCCATTGTCCATTTATATATTATTTCTCAATTTACAATACGGGCTTTGATGCTTTAAAAATATCAACCTAATTAAATCAATGACCCTTGAAAATTTCCAAGAGCAGAGCTATGCCTGCTCCTGACTACTTCTGAACAATGGCAATAATGATGCATTATATTTGTATGCAAATGTTCACATAGAACCACGCAAAGTAAAGTAAATTATTGCTGTGTGATCCGGTTAGGTGTTTTGCTTTTCTATTTCATGGAGCCCATTGACACCACACCCAATGGCAAATTTGCGAGGTTTGTTTTGAATTTCAAAATTAAAAACAGCAAAACAAAGAGGCCTATTGACATAGCCCTTTCAAAAAGAGCTAAGGAGATCAATGATCTCTCTTGCTTTGTTTTCTCTTTATTTTCTCATGTATCTATTAAGGCCTTTGAATTTACCTAAGAATATACCTAAAATGCCAACCCCAAAATCTGTATGAAGTGACAAGTTAACTTTTACAATTCAGTAAAGAGGCAATTCTGTCCTCCACATTCCTCTCCAGTAAAAATCTGCAAGAATGGTCCCAAAATTGTAAATGAATGAGACTGAACTGAAAAGTGGTATAAGGTAGGAAATCAGAAATTTCTCGTCATAGACCATTTTAATGTGTCTAAGAGATTTGGTTTTAATGAATATTTAACCTTTGTGTTTTCCTTTCTGGTTACAGTTGAAATGAATAGTCAGGTTGACAGTGTAAATGACCCAACAGAGAGTCAGCAAGATTAACTAATAGGTAAGTTGCTGCTGTGGTGGGATTTTCCATTGATTGAATTGATCAGAGGAACTGTTTGTAAATAGCATATTGGATTTCCCTCAACTCTACCAAGTCCCACAGCATGTATCAGGCTAAACTTTAAAAATCTTCATACCAAATAACAGAGTATAAGCAGCAAGGATTACCATAGTGCCTCGCCATCTTTAAGAGAAAAAGAACAGACACAATATATTCAAATAGTGTAGTGCTCTGGTTTTCTGAGCTTTGACAACAAGAAAGTGGTATTTGATCCATCTCACCATCTGACCTCCTAGTGTGATTAAATTATTTCAGCAACCCCAAGCTGATTCTAAAGTATTGCTTTTCCAGAACTGACCTGCTGAGTAGTTTTAGTATATCTCTTTAAGCATAGTAACTAAATCTTTGCCCTGGAAAATGTATAAGGGCCATTGAGTGTGTTTGGGTAGAAAGAGGCCTATCTTATATCTGAATCTCTCGCACCACTACCTGTGGACCTGTGTGTCTCCATATAGGTTTGTTGAGTTGAATGAACCTCAGGGAACTCCCAAGGAAAATAAAACTCTGGACCAGACCATATTTAGGAGTTTTTCCAGACCAACACGCTGAATCTCTTAGCAGAGCCTGAAGCATATCTAGAATGGTGGGTGGTCTGTAACTCTTTTCCATGTCTTGAGGGCTGGTAAGAAGAATTAGAGGAAAGAAGTCAGGCTTGCTATTCCAATTCCTAGCTTAAAATATTTAGCTGTAAAAAACCCTATGGAATAAATGAATTGTGGGTTGTCTAATGTAAAACACAAAGGTGTTGATACTGTTGCCTCCCAGCTCCACCCTGCACTCCTTATATCTTCTCGGTAGGTTCTGCCCTCCCCCAGGAGGCCATGCTGCTCCAGACTTTGGAGCTCCTGCATCACAGCAGAATAAAGTTTGAGACTGTGTGAAAACACACACACATCTGTCCTTCCCATCATGATCTTAAACATCATTTAAAACTAAGTATAATAGCATTTGCATAATGCATGCACAGCATAAGTCTGTAAAAATTATAAACACATGCGAACATGGTCTTATAAACAATTCTTCTTTTTTATTGTTAAGCTCCTTCATGTATTTTAAATATCCTGCTAAGCTGCAAAAATAATATGGTGAAGAAGTTTCCATTAAAAAGTAATGAAGTGAGAGTAAACCTAAAAAATTTAAATACAAGTATTTCAGTGTTGCCTTACCTTTTGTCCTTTTGTTGGCAACAAACTGTAGATTCCTTGTCCAGATTTTTTCTTACAGACACTATTATTTCCCTGTGTGATCAATATCCTGACACAGTACCAGGACAAATCTGTTTTTCTTGGTAAATGTCAAAATATTTTCCTTGACCATAAACAACAATTTATATCTTCACCCAAATGAGTAAGTTGTCAAAACTTAAAGTTCAGAATTAGTTTATAGAAATTCAGTTCCAGCAAGAGAAGTGGCTTACACAGGGTCACTTGGCTGATCAATGGAAATCTACACACTCTCAGTACAAAATTCTTTGATGACACCAAAATGCTCCTCAAACAGTAGTCAGTTGTTGAACACAGTTGTCACAGGGAACAGCATGATCTGAGGAACTTCACTGATTCCTAAAAAAATATTTACAGTTGTGCTTGTAGAAATTATCTGGTAGTTCGACTGGAAGAAAGAGCCTAACCTTTAATTCTGTGTGTCATGCTTTCATGGAAATTAAACAACTACAGTGAAAATGAGTTAGAATTATAAAGTTCAAAGACATAATACAAAAATGTTTCATGTGTATAATTTATAATTGTAAAAAATCAGGGATATCATAAATAACAAGGGAATGGCTTAATGAATTTATAGAATACCCTGAAAATGTATACTTTTTAAATAGGTATTTGAGGACATAGAAAGATGGTGATGGAACTAGAGAAATATGGAGAAGTATGGCAGGCAGAGTGTGGTTTCCAGGTTGGGCATTAAGACGCCTTGTATTGGGTTGACCAAAAAGCTCATTTGGTTTTTTTTAGTAATAAGACTCTAGTAGCACTTGGTTGCCTTTAACTTCATTTGAAACAATTTTGTTAGGTTGTATTTTGACAGCTGTCATATCAATGTGCATTTAAAAAAACATCAAAATCGGTGAATTTTTGTGTAGCTATTTTAATATCGAAGATGGAAGGAAATAAGCGACCTTTTCAGCATATTATGTTTTATTATTTCAAGAAAGGCAAAAGTGCAACTGATGTGCAAAAAAGATTTGTACAGTGTATAGAGAAGGCACTGCAACTGATCAAACGTGTCGAAGTGGTTTGTGAAGTTTCTTGCGGGGGATTTCTCATTGGACAATGCTCCACAGTCAGGCAGACCAGTTAAAATTAATAATGATCAAATCGAGACATTAAGTGAAAACAATGTTATACCATGTGGGAGATAGCCAACATACTCAAAATATCCCAATCAATAAAGTTATTAGTGAAAATGAAAAATGTGTCTTTAACTTTATGGAAAAAACTTAAATGGAATTTTTGGCCAACCCAGTAATTCCCATTTTTGCTTACTCAGATGCTTGTTCCTGGAATCCAGTGACATTGTATAAAGCTCAGACTCTTCTATACAATGACAAAGGCCACACGGAGAGAAGCTGAGAGGTCTTCTTTGATGTTCTGGCCCTAGTAGATACCACCTGGAGCAGATGAACTGCCCCGTTGAGGCCAGATCAAATTATAAAATCATAAGAAATAATAGATAATTGATCATTTTAGCCACTGAGTTTTGGAGTTGTATGTAATGTAGCAATAGGTAACTGAAGCAGTGTGGGTAATGCAGGACCCCTTTCAATACAAATGCTTATAAATGAGAGATAAACTATAACAAAAATATTTTGAAGTACAAAGCTCAACTGACATGAAAGCAAATGTACCAGAAGTAAAGAGGAACGTGAAAGCCAAAACAATAATCTAGTGAGCTGGTGGTGCAGAATCCCTAAGGGCTATAGATTGGTTGTTGATGCAGAGATAGGTCCTATGCCTAGGAATTGGGTTGTAATGCCCACCTGGGACCTTGAGCCACTCAGCATACGAAGTTGGAACTGATACCTCTACACATATAGATCTGGGACTCCCAGGTTAAGAAAATAACAAGAAGACTGGTATCTGCTTGGGTGCTGCATGAAGAAAGAAAAAGACTCCCATAATAAATAGAAAACACTAGAACACCATGAGTTTGAAACAAATTTATACCATCCAGCGTTTACACTAATGTGCAAACAGAAATCAATTTAATAGTTGATTGTATATTAGCCTTATCCCTGGTGTAGGTAGCAAATGGAAATGTGAAATTATCACTTGGAATTCCTATGGAAAAAAAAATTCTCAAGGTAAATTCATAATTTTAAGATATAAAATACACAAGGAAATGATCCATCAAAAATGGGAGTCAGTGGGTAAAATTATGAGATAACTAGTACCAAAAGAACTTGAAAGACCATAAAATTTTGAAGACATAAAGTAAATATATGTATAAATGACAAAAATATAAAAAGCAGATATAAAAAAGAGCAACACTATGAAAAATTAACAGTAATTTAGAAAAATCATGGAAATATGTAGTAATATAAAAACATTAAGAGAGATGAAGGATAAGAGAATACCGTATTTTGCTGTGTATCACTCACACCCACATTTTTGGTCCACACTTTCAGGGAAAAAAAATCTTTCATTTTAATTTTTAATTCAATTTTTTATTTATTTACATTTAGATACTTGTTTTTTGTATTATAAAAGAATTTTAACATTTATTTTTGGACATATTATGGTACAAGAAATTTTATGAAACAAATAATTACAAAACACAAGAACAGATAAAAGGTATTTCAGGTACTATACATGTGTAATGAGCACCCTTATTTTTCCCTCAAAATTTGGGCAAAAAAGTGTGCATTATACGCAGAAAAATATGGTACCTAAGCTGTTTTGTGTTCCATAGGCATTCTAAAAGGAGAGTATATTGGCAATATTTGAAAGTTAATGACTAAGAATTTATCAGAATTGATAATAGTCATAAATTTTAAGTTAAAGGAAGAACAATAAGTCACAGAACTTATATTTAAAATAAATGCACATGTAGGCACTGCATAATACCAAAGAGAAAAAAATATAAGCAATTTGAAAGAAAGGAGAATTAATCTAGAAATAAGTCAGCATTGCACAGGTAGCAGGCTTCCCAACACAAATTTAGGTCAGAAGACAGTGGAATAATTGTGAGTTTTCAAAACATGGATAAAAATAGTTGTCAATATAGTTCTAGACTAGTTTTACTATCATTTAAGAAAATAATACTTGCCATTTTCAGGGGGGAAAATTTGCTCCTCATTTTCTTTAAAAGCTCCTAAAAGTACAATAGTAAAAAGAAAATTGAACCCAAAGGAAAAAATAGGGTGCGGGAAACAATTCTGAGTCAAGAAAAATGATAAGCACAAAGGCAAATTAAAACTTATATTGACTATAAATTTATAATAATAATAGGTAGACGGTTCAAAACAGGGGAAAGCAAAATTACTATTTACATACATCTTATAATACATAAAGTAATACTACATACTTTTCATTATGTGTGTGCATGTTTATAAATATTTATATTAAAGGTATAAAAATGTGCAACTTATTGATCCATACCACTGTCAGTATTTGGTAATTTCTGCAAAGGAAGAGAAATAGTTTTATTTGTAAATTACATTAATTTATCTATAAAATTTTAAATGATCTATAATGTTTTATTTTTTAAAGTAAAATAAAAATTACAAGAGAATTTGAAAAATATTAACCCATTAAATCTGTATAGTAGATCTACTCTAGTATGTTATCTTATTGTCTAATTTTCTTCATGTTTACAAGTTTCATTGCTAAAATTAAAATTTATAGTTATGGATATATGTAGGAAAAATATAGAAAAATTCTATAAGGAAATACTCCATAATATTAACTATAGAATTTAT